CATCTTCCTCTCTGTAAGACATTGCATCAACATTTTCTTTAATCTTATCTACCAGCCCTCTACTGCTCTAGACTTAATTGCTCCCTCAAACCTTCGAGGCTTCTACCTCAAAAGCGTTTGTAAATGCATTTAATTTAATGATTAATTGAAGTTTTTAATAATTTAATAATTTATTGATGATTTGTTATTTTTAAAATGATTTATTAAATTTTTAATTAGCTTATTAAATTGTTAATGATTTATTAAATTTATTATGTTTTTATTTAATTTTTTAATAATTTATTATATATGCATCTTAAATCTAAGTTCTCTAAGACTCATCTTTAATTTTTATCCTTAAGTGTGACTAAAGTTATATGAAATAAAAAATATTATTCCAAACCCATTGGACATAAAAGCACATGTTAATGAATTTTGGGTTCTAAATAATAGAATAAAATCTAAATAACATAACAAAAATAGCTTGCAAGTAATTTTTAATCTAAAATGCTTAATAATAAAACTATGGTTTCTACAGGGCCTTAAGATTGGAAATTCGCAAAACACAATAAGGATTTTGGGCCTTAAAGCTATCTAAGTTTTCAAAATACTCGCATACATTGGAGCCCCTGTAATATCTAGCCATAGCACCTCTACCCAGTGGGATAAAGGTGACAGACACTTTTAGTCTATTTTGATCGGTACCATTCCTCGTAGTTCATGCAAACAAAGAGAATAAAATAGACATTATAAGCATGTTTAATAATAAAAAAGAAAATAATTAAAAATAATAATATTTAAATTAAAACATACCTTTTTTAGGCTTGTACACCGATTTCTTGATTGTCTTGTGAACTTTTCACTTTTGAAAACATACTTTGTATTTTTCTAACATTCACCCCGAGGCACAAGAAAGAAGAAGAAGAAGAAGAGAGAGAGAGGTAGAGAGGGAAAGAGAGCCCATGCTTTTCAATAATTTCACTTTCTAATAAACATTCAACTAACCCACTCTCCAATACAAACCACTTTCACTTCCTTTCCAAAAACTCACATACTTTCCTCTTTCAAGACATACAGTTCTTCCTTTTCCAATACACACTTTACTTTCCTACATTTATATTTCTCAATTCTCAAAATTTATACAAACTCCACAATTCCAATTTTCAAACACACCTACACATGTCACTTTACCTCTCAAAAATCAAACACTTTACTTTTACCTTTCTCACACAATACCTTCCCACCATACATTTTCACCTTTCAAAATGCACAATTCACCATTCAAAGATCACACACTACACCTTACTTTTCACATACACAATTTTCACCATTCCAAAACACACACAAGTTTACTCTCATATGAACTCCACATCACCACCTTCCTAAAACACACACAATTTCTACTTTTCAATGCACACATGCAAGTCACTTTTCCTTAACAAACACATGTTATTTTCCAAGGACACATATACTTTTACTTTTTCATAATATACACTTTTCATTTTACAAAATGTACAAATTCCTCTTTCCCAAAAATTTTCACAATTCACCTTTCAAATCTTTTCAAAGTCACACTTTTCATTATTTAAAATTCATATATTCCACTATTCAACAAACACCCTTCACCACTCAAAGATCACACACTTCACCCTTAGCACTCACATTCACAAATCACCCTTCAAAACATACACCTTTTACCTTTCCAAATCACACAACACCTCTTAAAGCACACACATGTCACTTCTAGATTTGCACGCAAAGAACACTTTTCAAAACACACACACTTTACTTTTCACATACACGCCATTTTTCCAAAACATAAACCTACCACTTTACTTTTCCATATTTACACATTTTCACCTTTTCACATATACTTTCACCTTTCATCCTTTATGCACCCCTTAAGCAAATCAAAGCAAATGCTTTTCTCTAACCCCTTGCTTTTCCCAAAATATGAGAAGAAAATATATATGCATAAAATGAAACACAACTATGTGCACATCTCACTCCCGTAATCAATATTGGCTAAATGCACACATACACTTTTCACCTTCATTACAAATCCAACATACAACGAAAAGAAACCAATGTAGTATAGAAAGATAGGCAATGAGATATTTGAGTGAAAGATAAGATTCATTTTCATTCTCCATATAGGTACGTTTGGAAGGCATCCATATTTACAAAATTCTTTACATAACTCAAAACAACTTGTTTTTCTAATACAGGAATTTAAAAGAAAAGTAAAGAGAAGGAAAAAAATCCACCAGGCACCTTTCTTTTTAAAAAATTTCAACATCGCAACAAAATTATCGCAACGTCTCAAATATCTCTTCAAAACCCAACTAGACATGTTTAGAAAAGAAACTTGGACTAATGCAAGAGAAGCATTACATTTGCTTATATAAACCCAATTGTTGTAATTTCAAACCTTTGTATTTACCAACTAAACAATACATTTAATCTACTAAAAAGTGATCTCCAATCTCTAAGATCACGAAAGAAACCTAATGTAATATATCAAAGAAATAATCTTGGGAAAGCACACTGTGAAGAAAATCCAACGCATGATGTTAACAATGGCAATGAAAATCTGAGATCAAAACACCTCTCTATTCATTGAACCTTTTTTTTTTATAATCCAGAATACTAATCTCCCAAACATAAATAAATAGAAAATATGACAAGAAATCATCCACAAACTCAAGAAACAGATCAGCAATGTGTCACATTATTTCCATGAGTAAGCTTAAACGGATCACTCAATCTTGAAACTAATCCAACAATTATATAGAGAAGATAGGGATATTCGTTGGAGATCAAGAAATCTTTCAAAAAGGAAGATAAATAAGGAGAAGTATACCTGCACAAGTGGAGGACGATCAGAGGGACTTTGCATGCCTGGAATCGAATAATTCGATTAGGGATTGCGAACAAGAGAGGGGGAGAAGGACTGAGCATCGTTCGTTCTCTGCGAATTAGAGAAGGGGAGCTTCGACCTTGGCGTCGTATGAACAGAGAGGCGACGGGATGAGGGCGGTTTCACCTACGTTCGTCGCGCGCGCGCGCGCGCGAGAGAGAGAGAGAGACAGAGAGAGAGGAGGGGCTTGACTGGGATCTTCTGACGTGAACTGTGAGAGGAGTGACAGGGGAAGGGAGGCCTTGGGGTTTTGTTTCTTGCGAATGGAGAGGGAGACCAAGAGCCTGGGGGTTTCGCCTTGGTGTCGCATGAAGAAGAGAGCGAGACGAAGGATTTTGCGAAATGCAGAGCGTGGGAGAGCTTTGGTCCGTGCGAATAATTAGGAAATAGTGGGGTTGGTTTTCCGAATAGAGAGGGGGAGGAGATGGATCGTGGGGGTTCTGTTTAAACCGGTCCAACCGAACTTCACCTTAGGTATAGCCCAAACCACCTCTTAGCCTTCTCTAAACAATTACTTTATTAGTTAACTTTTCATGATATATAAATTTAAATTTTAATGAAATTTATTATTGATTAAAAAATTCAATTTAAATTAATTTGAATTAATTCAATTTATTTGATTAATCTTAATTAGAATTCAAATAACTCACGATGAGTCGGGTTGGGCTTCTCGAGATTGATTCTGGCTATTAGAATTCAAAAGCTCAATAGTGTGCCGATCTGCATCCAATTATGTTCGATTAATGTTAATTTTGATGAGTTTAATTTTTTTATTAACTTTACATGGCGTGATTTGGGTGAAATTAGGAGACTGAGTCAAAGTTACATAAGTGGGCTTCAACCTAAGGGAAATCTTGGAATAATTAATCTAAGAATAATGAGGTCGAAGACCTAAGAGCTAAGAGCTCGAGATTGATTCTGGAGAAATTGACCTCGAATAATGAGGTCAACAATAACCTTAGATATGATAAATATTTTTAGTGAATTTTTTTAACCTCTTTCATACATATTAATATCATCAAATAATATTCTAATAAATAAACTCAATTTGTTCAAAAATTCTTGATGGATTTCTTATTTTTTTCACACACGTTAATATTATTTAGTGATATTTTGACAAATAGCCGCATACTGATAAGGATAAGTCGCCTAAAATCATCATGAAGCCAAACTCCTCACTGCAAAAATTTCATTGAGAAACAACTACAATATCCTATACGCACTCTTAGAACCGATGGTGGTGGAGAATTATTGAACAGCACCTTGCACATTTTTCTCTCCAAAAATGGAATCAATCATCAATATACCTGTCCTCATACTCCTCAGCAAAATGATATTGCGGAACGAAAACATCGTCATCTGCATGATATTGTTCGCACACTTCTCATTGATTCAAATATTTCTGCATCTTTTTGGCTTGATGTTATACTTACAGCAGTATACTTAATCAATCGTTTACCATCACCAACAACCCTCTTGGTATCACCCTACCAGCTTCTATACAAAACATTACCAAATTATCAACATTTACGCAAATTCGACTATCGTTGCTATCCATGGCTTCGCCCATATACTTCTCATAAACTTGCCCCACGATCCGCGGAATGCATCCTTCTTGGCTATGCTACATTGCAAAAAGGTTATATATGTTTCAATCCTCTCACAAACCGCACCCTTGTTTCTAGGCATGTCATTTTTTATGAAGCTTCTATTCCAACTTCTACCCCTGTTTCATCTACTACTACCTACTCTCCTCATACAACGCTTCCACCCTTTCCTCCTCATCCACCACAAAATCTTCAAAATTCTTTACCATTGACTTCTACAAACCTGCCATCTCCACAAATTTCTTGCTCCACAAAATCTACTCCTACTGCTGCATCAAATTAATCCGAGAAGAACAATTCCATTCATGTTTCTTCCTCCACATCACCAACTGTTAGCTCTATCGAACCTACACCGCCTCAACGTCATCCTATGACAACACGTCTCCATACAGGTCATTTGAAACCCCCGTCAAATTTTAGAGCTTTAACACACTATCTCATCTACCCCTACTTGTTATACCACCGCCGCCAAACTTCCTCAATGGCGTGCAGCTATGTCTTCTGAGTTCAATGCTCTTCAATCTCAAGGAACTTGGTCTCTTGTCCCTCCGCCATCAAACCAAATCATAATTGGCTTCAAATGGATCTATAGAATCAAACATCATGCCAACGGGACAATTGCTCGTTACAAAGCTCGATTAGTTGCTCAAGGTTTCAAACAGGAATACGGCATCGACTATCAAGAAACATTCAGCCCTGTGGTCAAATTCTCGACCATCAGAATGTTTCTCCTAGTTGCTTTACATCATGGGTGGTCTATATTACAACTCGATGTTGTTAGTGCTTTTTTACACGGAAATCTCACCGAGACAGTTTATATGGCTCAACCACAAGGTTTCCAAGATCTCCAACATCCCTCTCATGTTTGTAGATTACACAAAGCAATTTATGACCTCAAACAGGCCCTAAGACAGTGGTTTACAACTTTGTCAACATTTCTTCTTTCCAGAAATTTTAAAATCAGCTCTGCCGATCCATCATTCTTCATTTATGATCATAAGCAGAATACAATTTATTTACTAATTTACTTTGACGATATTTTGCTTTGCGAAAATGATTCACATTTTATTTCTAGCTTGCTACAGCAACTTCAACAAAATTTTCATATTAGAAACCTTGGTGAACTGTCTCGCTTCCTTGGCATTGACTTCACCCGAACACCAGGTGGCTACCATTTGTCTCAACAAAGCTATGTTGAACAACTTTTGTCAACCGCAGCCATGTCCAATTGCAAACCACTAGCTACGCCATTACCTGCAAAATGGTCATCCTCACCGGGACTTCAGATTCCTTACAGTCAACTAGACTTCTACCGTCAAATAGCTGGATCATTACAATATTTAACCAATACACGACCGGATCTTGCCTTCGCATTGAACAAACTATGTCAATTTATGCATCAACCATTAATCTGCCATTTTCAGCTTTTAAAGCATATTCTTCGATATCTCAAAGGCACGATATATGTTCGTCTTTTTCTACCCAAGTCTGATCTCACTCTCACTGCATATGCCGACTCTGATTGGGCAGGCGACGTTACCGATCGCAAATCAACTACAGGTTCTTGCATATTTCTTGGTTCAGCACTTCTTTCGTGGTCAGTCAAGAAGCAATCTACCGTAGCTCGCTCCTCCACTGAAGCAGAATATCGCTCTCTCACTGCTCCAGCTATCGTCATTATTTGGGTTTGTCGCTTATGTGCTGATTTCTCCATCAAGCTTTCCTCTACTCCACTTTGATGTGATAATATTTCAGCATTATCCTTAGCCTCAAATCCAATTTTTCATGCATGAACCAAACATATTGAGATTGACCATCACTTCATTAGAGGCTGTGTTCAAGATCAGAGTATCATAGTCCATCTTGTCTCCAGTGTGGATCAGCTTGCTGATGTGTTCACAAAGTCCTTACACTCTCAACGCTTGCATCTCCTATGTTCCAAACTGTTGATTCAACCTCCCATCAGTTTGAGGGGGGCTGATAAGGATAAGCTGCCTGAAATCATCATGAAGCCAAACTCCTCACTGCTCCATTCCGTTGAGACCACAACTGAGGCGGCAGAGGAAGCTGAATATTCAGAACCACTTTACAGCTTTATGTAACTACCTTTGGGTAGTTTAGTAATTCCAAAACAAATGTACACTTGGATAAATAGCCTTGAACTGTATTCACAAAATCATCAATGAAATGACCACATCTCATACACCTTGCTCTACTACTATTCATCTTCTTCCTCTTTACTGTTTTACTGTTTTATTGATCTTACAGTTGCAGAGCATTGTAGCCGTGACTTTCAACACATACAACTTCAAAATATTTGTGGATATCGTTAGATGTTTCCCATCACAAGTTAAGGTTTAGGTTGGTATTCCATTCTAGCAACCAAAGCAAGGTACAATTATTCATTAAAATAGTTGCATTAATAAAGCTTGTCATTACAATAAAAATTTTCAATCAAGCTCAAAGAAATAGGCATCCAAATGGATTATGTCCTCTCCATGGAGCAATTTCCTAGATCATTGGATCACTATTACACAAAAAATTGAGATTTCATTAGTTATTATCGTTAGTTCTAGCCCCTTGCTTGTAAACAATAATTAAACTTGCATAATATATGAAGAAATATATATTTATGGGTTATATAATAATAACTCTTATTTAATAAACACATATAGAATTATTAAATATATATGATATCAACACATTCTTTATCAACATCATAAGTGATTTTAAGAAGTTTCTTCACTCTTCAAGTTCTTATCCTAGTTTTCAAGGCGGCCTCTTCTCCCATAAAACTTGTTGTAGCTTTAAAAAATTTTTGCTTTATCCATAATGTCTCAAATGATTCCAATATTATTAAATATAACACTAATACTTGGTATCATTATTGTCATCACTTTTTTTTTCAATGAAAGATCAAATCATTACCATGAAAATTATGATCCATAACACCTTTATACGCTATTCATCCAATGATGACAATCAAAACCTTTTTCAAGGTAATAAAAGAGCCTCATCATAGTTATTGCAGGCCTTGACTGCCTCTAAACTTGATCCATCTAATGAAGCCTATCAACACATTTTTAAAGGAATCCTAAAGTTTTTATTTATGGACTATATGCCTTGATCACTTGTAAATTTTATTTATCTGATAATGAGCATGAGGCCACTTTCAATAGGGGTGTAAATATTGGATGCGACCCAAAAACTTGACTGAAACCTGACACAAAAATTTTGGGTTCGGGTCAACCCAAACTAGAACTGGGTCGGGCTCAGATTAGAGATTTTTACCCATTTGCAAAAATGGGTTGGGTTCGGGTTGACCCGAAAATCTAAAATCAACATGATATGACCCGTACAATCTGTTTCCTGCTCTTTGTCTGTCCCATCACATCCATAATCCATCCAGTTGTCGTGACGTCTCGTCAAGCAATCGTTTCTGCGTCAGCCTTGCGTCCATCTAGCCATCCTGTCCATCCATGATTCAACGTCAAGCAGTATCACTGCGAGACCTCTTACATCTAACGAATGACATCCCTTTCCCGCTCATAGGGTTGTCAATTGTCGCCTCTCTATTCATGCCATCCTCGTCATCCCACTACCAAGCACCGCGACAACGGTCCCCAATTGCTGGCTCAGCTGTTCACCAGCCGGTCAACGATCGAAGGTCGCTATCTTCTTGAGCTTCTTCAGCCAAATCCCCAAATCCATGTCGAGACGGGTTGAACCAAACCCGAAGCATGTTTTGTTTGGATCCCAAAAATCGACATGTTTTCAAAAATGGGTTGGGTTAGGGTTGACTCGAATAGTGCCAGGTTGGTTTTGGGTTCGACCCAAATCTGACTTGTGACCGGAAATTGTCTCCCCTAATTTTCAAGCGAATGTTATAGTCTCACCAAAGGGACTATGAGCCTTGACCGCCTCCGCACACTATCCATTCAATGAGGATAGTTAACATCTTTTTAAAGGGATAATAGAGCCTTTCTGTAGTGTCTACTATCCTTGTCCACATCTAAACCTAATTTCTCTGATGAGGACAATCAACACCTTTTTTAAGGGACAATCATATCCTCATAATAAGGATTGTTGACCATGATCACTTCTGAACTTGATTTCTCTAAGGAAAACTGACAACACATTTTTAAAAGGAAGAGTTGAGTCTAACCATAAGGATTATAAGCATTGGTCACCTCTGATAGCTTTTAAACTTTGTAGGATAATTTTCCCTTCCTGCATAAAAAAAAAATTGCCTACTAAGAGAGCCATGGCTCTTATCTAGCCCCAAGTGGGATATTTATAAACTCAAGAGGGAGATTTTTTTTAATAATTTCTTAGATTTTTAAAATGTTTTTGAAGTAAGAAATATTTTTTTTTCTTTTGTTATGCAATTTAAAAATAATTAAATTAAGAATCTTCTCTTCATTTGCTTGAAGATGTGCACCACACTTCTGAACATGCCTATAAAAGGAGTAGGGAAAAAAACTAGCGCCGATTTGGTGATGTACAAATGCCTAATGAGCACAATTTTGATGCCACATGATTCAAATGAGCCGCTATAACCAACTTAAAGTAATTTTTAAGAATTTGGCAGTAACATTTTACCAATCTTTGCTCCTATCAATGCATCAACATTAACAAATGCTAAGATTATAGTTTGAGATATATCACTTAGTTGATGCCACTAAGTGGAGGTCTACACCAACATTTAATGAGTGATCTAAACGTATATTTTAAGATGACAAAAGCTTTAACATTCAGATATTGGGGGCAATTCATATATCATAAAATTTATTTTTGATTATGCATGAATTTTGATGTCTATTTGAGTTAGAAACTTTTGAAATTAAATTGGTGATTCATTGAAATCTAATTTGGGCAAACTTATTGTTTAACTAAACTTCTCGATGTGATGAAGCTATTGACACTAAAAGCTGTTTGACTTGATTCCAAATGAGTCTAAATCAATTATTTTTAGCATATTCAAAACTTTTGAAAATAAATTAAAGAACCTAACTACCTCCAAATCTCACATGCATATGATCAAATCGAGCTTCTCAATGAGTTGAATTCAACAAGTTTAAAATTTGCTTAATCTCAACCACATCAAGACACTAACTGTTGATGGAATGATTTATGATCGAGGGAATCAATATGGACTATTTGATGGGTGATTGGGATTTTGGATATATTTATGGGGCATGATACTTCAAACATTTATAAATAGGATTCTACACTATACTTGAACTGGGTATGATACTATAATCACCTAAATAAAGACCTTTGATTGTTGTCTCTTGATTATGACCCTCTGACTAATATTGCCCAAATAAACTTATATGGTCATTATTGCCTGACTAAGGTCCTTGGACCTCCATCGTCTGATTACTGCTCTTTAAACACTATTACCATATTAAGATTCTCTGATAATCATCACATAACTACGGGTCTCCGACCATCATATCCCGAATATGTTCCTCTGATCACCACCATCGAAATATGTTCCTCTAATTATCATTACATGGCTATGATCCTTTGACAACTATCTCCCAAATACGATTATCCAATTATTGTTGTTATACTACAATCCACCCACTATTTTTACCTCAAAAAATAAAATTGTTAGCCACCAAATATTTCCCTCTCTCTCTCTCTCGAAGCCTTCTTTAACATTATGTTCTTTATTTTTATAGGAAGAAAAGGAATTAATTATTATGCCAATAACGATAGGGATTGAGTCCTAAGTAGTAGAAAGAGTAAGAAAAAGAAAGAAGGGGATGGTGCCATATCCTAAAGGTATATTTCTCAAGTCAACAATTATTTTAGTTTAGGTCTTCATTAATGTTTAAAATTGCGTATTCGGGTAATGAGGCGTTTTTCATTTGTGAGGTGAGGCGTAAGCCTCAAGGCGTTTTGATGCATAAGCCTCAAAATCAAAATAATGCGTAAACATAAAATGATAAAAATTTTTATATACTAATGAGTGAATAATATAAAACATAAAAAAGCATAAGATATGAAGTGAAATCAAAATATCCCAATAATAAGACAACATGAAATATAGTTCAACTCAAAATTCTATATTTCCCAAATCCTAGTATTCTTTTTATTAACATATAATTCCAATTTCTAAAAATAAATAGCAATGACATATCATTAAAAAAAACAAATAACAATGACATATCACATAAGAACTCATAAGTCATCAACACTGTCATCACTAAGGGGTTCTTCATTTGAATCATCATTATGATGAACTGCTCTCTCCCCTTCCTCCTCTCCTATAGAGTCCAATGTCTGGCATTTACTTCAAGATTTATGTAAGTTTTAATATATATAGCGTGAGGCATAAGCTTCATGCCAGTGAGGCGAGGCGGGCCTCAACCAAGTTGAGGCACAAACCTCATAAGAAAAACTCGAGGAGTAAGCATCGAGGTATTTTGTACTGGAATTGCGCAAAAGCGGGCCTCAAGGCGAGCCTCGTATTGCATAATTTTAAACAGACCATAGTCTATTTCTCTCTTAGAAGTATAATATCACAGTTCTCAATTAATAAATGGTTTTTTGATTGAATCATAAAAGGAGCCTAATTTGATTAAAGCTTGAAGATCTAAGTCTTATATCTACTGAAGATCCAAGACAAGACTCTAAAGGCACACATCTATACAATTATTCTACACACACTATTTTCAATCTCCACTCAAGGTTTAAAAATAATTTTTATTAAATATTAATTTCAAATCATTTTGCATATTTTTTATTGAAATTATGAATATCATATTGGTGATATACTCAACTAATCAATGAATATAGTGATTATATGTTCGACAAAAGGATGTTAAAATCCTTCCTAGTAAGATAATCATAGACTATGCATTGTAATTTTTTTTTAGTGAAGTTGCTAACATTTATAACCGACAAGATCAAATTATTGTGTCCTAAAATAAGTCTTGGATGTTAAGAAAGACTCAAGCTTATATTTACCATAAAAAATACATTCTTTTATATGAAAATTTAAAAGGAAAAAAATCATAGGATTTAACCCATATGACCAACTTGCAAGACAAGAAAACTATTCAAATGATCTGAAGACCAAAAAAGGGATACTTTATATTGCTTATAACAATTTCAGCTTCACGCAGCTTGCCTTGGTTTATTGGTTGTGAGATTTGGTTGCCAACCAAAAGTCCTTGGCTTGAGTCTTGCACATGTGATGTGTGTATAAATTTCTCTTAATTGGCCTAAATGCCCTCCCCCCCAATTGGCCCAAATGCCCCCCCCCCCCCCCCAAACAAACAAAAAAGAAGCTACAACAACGATGGTAGTATTGGCCTATACAAAATGTTGGATTAATGGAGGGAAAATTAATTTTGTGATAAATGTTGCACACACAAATGTTATGATGTTACAAAGTAATTCTTTATGATAGATAAAAATGTTCAAATACAAACAACATTATCAACGTTCATAAAATAAGAAAACTATAATGCAAGTGATAAGTGAAAGTTGCAATTCTTATTCTCCATACAATATATCCTCTTTTACTTGTTACTTAAATCTCACGAAACTACAACGATTCATAAGAAATCCACCTCTTCAAAATCGTCCAACATTCCCTCGGTTTGTCTCGTGGTGCCTCATGACCTCCACCCTACAAATGAGTGAAGGATAAGTTATTAACATACTAAATACTACAACAACAATAACAAGACTTTACTCATTATGTGGGATTGGCTACATGAATCATTTTTTTCATTATGTTCTATTAAGAGTCTATTTTTTACCACTTTTTAAAGTAACTTTTTAGTATAGAATTTTCTGTATTAAAAATTTATTTTAAGAAAATAGTAAGAAAGTTATCCCAAATGAAGCCTAGATCTAATAAAAAAATCATTTTTATACTTTATAACCAAGTCTTTTAGGCTCTAGCTCTATCTTTGTTAACATAGGTTGGATCTAATACAAACATTTTATTGAATTAAAATATTGAATAAATAAATAAAACTTACAAATAATACAAAAGGATAATCTCTTACCATCACGGTAGCAAATGTTAGATTGTTTGAGTAGAGTATTGTATACCTGTGCCAAATTTAAAAAAAAAAAATTAGTTAAGGGCATCTCTGTAAGAAAATTTTACTTTAGAATTAATTTAGGCATCAAAACTGAAAATAGGATTGTAACTGAACCATATATATATATATATATATATATATATAAGAACTTACCCTCCGACTTGGCCGTTTAATTTCCATGATCTCCAGGGCTCAATGACTGAGAAATTAAGATAGTCTATCCAATTCAATGTTCCCTTTGTTGGAAATCGCAAATCATGATCCCCGCTGATTGAAATGTCGATGTTAGCTAAAAGATTCACTTGAAACTGCTTTCTTACTCCTTTTTGAAGCAGTTTTTTTGTAAAAAAATTTCTTTAGACAAAAATAAGAAAGCTATCCATAAAAAAAGGCCAAAATGTTTGTTTAGTAATTACTATTCAGGCTCTTAATTGGTTGTTTGTTAATGGTTAATATGTTTTACAAAGTCTTATATCAATATAAAGTAGATCAAAATATCCTTTCAGATTTTTTACCCTTTTATGAAGAGAAGTTTTAGTTCTCTAAATTGTTTTTGTGTACAAGAATGTTTGCATTAAACTAGATTAAGTTAAAGTTAATCAAATCACAGAATCTTCCAAATGTTTGCATTGCTTTAATTTAAAACATATTTTCATAATAAATAAAGAATTATATAGGTTCTGGTAAAGTTTAGAAGATTAGCTTGTCTTACCTGTAAACTAAAGCTCGATAACCTCGTGTTAGCAGACTATGGTGGTGATCCAAACTGCTATGGATGTTCTCAATATAAATCTTCTTCAGTTGTAAGTTGCATGCCAACCATATTTTAACGGATCCCTGTCACAATTTTCAATATTTTAAGAAAGTAATATGAAGGGTATTAATTTATAGAGGGATATACAACTGTTTTTGATCTACTGGTCGGGAGCTTTGATTACTTATTAAGAGGTCATAAATTTGATGTTTGCGTATGTGATATGTGTGAGTTTTTTTAATAGTTTAAATGTCTTAAAAAACATTATAAAGGGATTTAAATGCATACCATTTTAGAAGAAGAAAGAGGGTCGATAGGGAGAAGTATCTTGTGTAGTGCTTGTAGGAGAGCCACAAAAGAGAAAAGAGAGGTCTTGAGGAGAGAGAAGGGAAGATAATTATCTGAGCCAAAGAAGGAAGAAAGATGATAATGTTAGATACCCTAAAAATCCAAAAAATCTACCACGACAACCACCAAACTCCAAAATAAGAGAGTTAATGCTACAAACTCTTTCCCTAAATAATACTAAAAGATTTCTTCCAAAGACAATCTATAGTACAACTATTGCAAGAAAAAAAGACATAAGAAAAAATGTTGGAAACTCCACATAAGCTCTTAGGTTAAAGTGGGAAAATAGGTTACCAAAAAGGACATGCATGTCATTAAATGCTACAACTATAAGGTAGCAATTTTCAATAATCATTGTGTATTTTCGGACCTCACTATAGGGAAGATAATTGAGGAAGGTAGATAAAATGACGAGCAATATATTCTTGACTATGGAAAATCTCTTGTCGTGCACTTTTATTTTCACCCTCATTACATTAGTTATTCTGGAACATCATTGTAGGATAATAATTCTCTCAACCTGGACACTATATCACTTCAAGTCATTTTCAAAAAATTTCTCCTACCCATAATGTAAGAACCGGCTTGGATGGTTTAGTTAAATTAGCCTTAATTACAGAGCTGACAAAGCAATGGAGACATGATGGAGAAAGACTTATCTTGGTCTAGCAAAGAAGGAAAGAAAGATTATCGAGGTATTTTGATTTAGTTTAAATTAATTCAAGATGAATCAACTTTCATTTATTTTTAAAAATTATTTGTCGACTAATGCAATATTTTGCATAAAAAGGTTTGTTTAGTCCGTTTGGAGGAGTAGAAAGTAATGAAGAAGAAGAAGAAGAGTGTTCAACTATCTTATTATTGGTGAAAAGTAAGTAAATTTCTTTTATGTTAAAATGAAGGAATTTAATAATTATAATGAAATATTTTGAAATTTAGTATGTAACCTTAGGTGTTGCATTAAGAAAGGTTATATCAAAGTTTAATTGAGTAATGGAAGAAATTAAACCATGAAAATAATTAAAGTGGGTAGTTACAATTATTTTGTACTAATTAAAATTCTCTAAAATTTCTTTTCGATAAATACTGTAGCACATATGGAGGCTAAATATTTAATGTATAAGATGAATAAAATTAAGAAAAAAGCAATAAATGATTATGTTTATTTTATAGCAATTTTACTTTTCTTTTACTTCATTATAATTATTGAATATTGTATCATGTAAGTATACTGATTTGTCTCCTTGCACTAGTCTCAAAAATTTATCTTGCATTTGCCTTCTTACAGAAATAAACAAACAAATCTCTGAACTCCTTAGTAAACTCATCCATTTGATCTGAATACAAGATATCCCTCCAAACATATCTTGATGTTGCCATCTCCACCACCTTTTAGCCTCACCATCTAATACAAATATTGCCAGTGAAACCTTTCTTTATTATGGGCAGAGCATACCTTATAATATCTTCTCAGTCCTTAATAACCTTTTTTCTATCTCTATCGATCCTTATACTCCCTTAAATAATGACATTCTCATATCCTAAAAAAAAAAATTAAATATTTATCCATTGGCATACTACTACCAATATTTCTTGATAGCTAAGATATTGAATCTTGAATTAAATAAGTCATTGTTATCATCATTTGGGTCAATGCATCAGTATTAACAACAACACTTGGTACAACCTATTTATAACCTGTTTAGGATCATTCTTAGTTTAATAAAATAAAACATATAATTAAAATTCATAATTATATCAGGATAATTTTTTTAGACTTAATAATCAACCTAATGGCTCTTTTAGTACGATTTATATCCTAACTTAATTCTGATAGCACTTTTGTCAAGACCCAGTCTGGTGACTCAAATTAATGAGGTATGAATAGATGATAAGATGGTAAGTATAATTTTTCATATAATATAAAACACTTAATAGAATAACAACCAATATATAACTAAAGATCCACTAAAACAAATTGTTTAATTTGAACATATAAAAAACCAAATTATCTATTAAAATTTGATTCTCTTCTTATATTAAAAATTTCTTCTCTTTCATCCATTTAATTTATAGGAGATTTATGTGACATTTTAAATTTAACAATTTAAGTTTTGTAAAAATGCAGTAGATTATTACAGCTTACAATATAACAATTAAACTACAAAAAATAGTCATGTTCCTTTATCATTTTTTTCATTTAATATATACATAAACATTTATTATAAGGAGGATAAAAAACCAAATTATCTATTAAAATTTGATCCTCTTCTTCTATTAAAAAATTCTTCTCTTTCATCCATTTAATATATAGGAGATTTATGTGACATTTTAAATTTAACAATTTAAGTGTTGTAAAAATGCAGTAGATTATTACAGCTTACAATATAACAATTAAACTAAAAAAAATAGTCATGTTCCTTTATCATTTTTTTCATTTAATATATACATAAACATTTATTATAAGGAGGATTTACATACATAACAAATTGAAACATGCCTATTTACATATCTAACACCTAAGACTTTTAAAATATATTTATAAAACATATATCTTCCCTATCAAACCATTTCTACCATTGTGTTTCATCCCCATGAGGCGCACGTGAGAACTCTTTCCCTTATGACATTCTAATATATGATCTTTTCCATCGTTGTGAAACTGACGATCACTCTTTCCCAATTCAAGTCATTCTTCTTCATCGTCTAGAGCAGAAGCTCCTGCCCCCCATGAAAGTTGCATGCTCCAACTCCGGTGGTATTCCTCATACCCTAAATCTTTTTCTGCTATTTGTCAAGAGTTACCCATATAAGGTTTTTTTGGTTCTCTACCTTATCAATCAAGCTATGGAAGGATGTATTATTAACACATTATTTTTTGGTAGATTTTTACTAAATTAAAGTAAAGTTAAATGAATATTATGGTGAATGAGAGTGAATGGCTTCTTGTTACATTTATGTTTGGGGGATATTGAAGTAAAGTTAAAAGTCAACATAAAAGAAGATATGAAAGTGGTAAAAAAATAAAAAACAATTAAACTTAGAGAAGGATTTATTTAGCTATTTTGTCCTTAGAGAAAAGTTTGAAATGATTTGTAAGTGGCTTATTAGCCATGACTTCAAGTTACACTATCATATATGTGCTACTTCTTCTAATGTCTATAAGACTATATGGAGTGATGTCACCCAAGGTCATACAATTGATAGAACAATTTAATAAAGTTAGTGGGTTGAAGTTGTGGTTACATTACAATATGACAAAGAGGTTGATATGATCTCAAGAAGGTTTTGAGCAATGTCACTGAAGTTCAATTAATGTTGCTTCAAACAATATTATTTTTCAAAGCTTAAAGAGTATTTATCTTATAACTCAAGTTGATGATGATAAAGCATTCATATAGTCCACCACCATCACTAATAACTTTGAGATAAAGATCAAGGCTAATGATAAGACTAGAGTTATAGCAACATGCTCACATCGAGGATGTCTTTGAAGGTACTACATCACTATGTAAAGGTGGTCAGTCCTTTGAAGATAGAAAGTTAGATGATGCACATCTATGTCTTGGTGTCAATATAATTGGAAATAAACTTGCACATCTAACAGAGTTACTTTTGATATACAAGAAATTATAAAGGAACATTTGTACATACCACCAAAACACATTAATGATAGTTTGAAGTCAATGTATAGATTATCATTACCATATATGAAATTGTGGTGCTCTAGAGAAGCGGCACAAAATATAAAATTTGGGATTGTGGATGATAACTACAAATGGGTTTCTACTCTAAGATGTGAGCTTATTGCTAGAAATTTGGGCTCTCATAGCACATACACACATGATATTGATGATTACTCATTCGAGAAATTTTATGTAAGCTTTGAAGTTTGCATTGTTGGCTTCATTGTAGGTTTCATACCTTTAATTGCTCTTGATACTTGCCATCTTAAATCAAAGTATTTGGGTGTTTTGCTATTTTCAAATTAACTTGATGGAAGCAACAATCTCTTTACTTTAGCTTATGTATTGGTTGAAACATAATCTAGGGATACATGGAAATAGCATATTGTTAATTGGAATATTTATTTAGCTATGAGTTGAATATTTAGAAAGGTCTAGGAGAAGCATTAAAAAATGTGTACCCTGAAATAGAACATAGAGTGTGTATTTGTTATTTATGGAAAAACATGAAGAAGTGCTTTCATTTTTTTGATAGTCCCTGGTTGTGAAACTTAGTACGCTCAGTTTCTAATGCTTACAAAAGATATGATTTTGAATCCAAGTTAATGGAGATAAATAATGTTATTCCAACAATTCATTTATATTTAATTTATTTACCGTATAACTGGTTAAAAAGTATGTTTTCATTTTAAATAAAGAATTACACAAACACAAATAATATGGCCGAATCTTTCAATTCTTGGATTGGAGAAGTAAGATGCATAACTTTAGTTGACCTCATTATATAATCAAGGTCATGATAATGGAGGAAAGGTCCAAGAGAAGACTTATTGTAGGAGGGTGGTAAGGAGAACTAGTTTCGTATGTTGAGGAGTGTGTTAGAGAAATTACAGCATATGAGTGCTTTGTCATTATGCAGTCAACATCATCTAAGTTTGAGGTTGAAGGTCAGAAAAAGAGATATGAAGTCAACAATGATACTAGAAAATATACTTGCAACCTTTGGCAAATGAGTGGCCTAGCATGTATTCACACAGTTGCAATAATTAGTAACGAGGAACATCCACTTTGGCATGTTTATGTTGATCAATTCTATCATATTAGTAGGTATGAAAGATTTATTTTATAAATCTTATACTATGTTTATGTTATTTTTTGTTGACTAAATTGAGTTAATTTCAGGTATAAATAAGATTACGAAGATGCAATAGTAATGCTTCATGACAAGGATCAATGGTGTGTCACTGGAGATGATATTCATATCGGTGTGCCAAAAACTTTAAGACCAAGAGGACAACCTAAGAAAATAAAATTTATGAACTTTTAGAGTTAAGCACAAACAAGAAAATAATTAAACTTAAAGTAGCCATTGTGGTCTTTGGGGTCACCACAAAACAACTTGCAAAAATTCAATAGGACAACCTATCTTTGGTTACATTAAACATGGTTAACCTAGTTCAAGAGTTAAACAATCGAAATGGAAAAAATGAATTGTTTAAATTGCAATTTCTTGGGGAGATTTAAGTATACATGCAATTTTTTGTGGGGATCATAAATGTAACAAATAAATTAAGAATTTTTTGGGGAGATTAAAGTATACTGACAGTCTTTCATAGGGTTCATAAATATACCAAACAATTCAAGAATTATATGGAAATATTTTTCAGAGCCTTCTGGGTTCATACGTATAACTGTGCAGTTTTCAAATTTTTTATTAACTGTCTTTCTACATTTCTGCTTATTTTCATTTATACATTTTAGTTTTAAATTCCGACTTCTTAAAATTCATTCATTACAAATCCCTGGAAATTGCTTCCCGTTGCGAATAATTTTGAGAAGGTCAACTAATGCAGTGAATTGAATCAATCTCTCATCCGTAATAGTGTGCATTTGAATTGATTTATGCTTACATAATAATAAATATGTATAATGCAAAATGGTTGATTAAAATAAATAATTAAGACAAGTAATGAAAATAAACATGGCACAATTATTTATATACTGATTTCTTGTAGATTCAATTGAATATCTTGAACTCATACTTTCAAATAGCTTGATACTTGAAATAAATGCATGGATCCAATGAAATTGAATATTTCAAAAGAAAGGAATATCAATGAACAAAACTAATGTAACATAAACTTCATAAAATACTTATTTCATCTTGTGATGAATGCTAACATCTCAACCCATGTTATAATAGATAATATTTTTTTCTTTCCACAAAGATTAATTTACTAATATGTTTACATACCCCAAGAAGCCCAATTTTATTCCGAAAGAGAACATACCATGAGGGTTGGGGAGAAACTCCCATAATACTCAATAAAATGTTCTACTCGCTGCATAAATTATGGTCATTAGGACAAAAGAGATCTTTGGTAGCATTCTTATCTATAATACTTATGAATAAATGACTGCATAATGAAAAAATCTCATCCCTTGATTCATCCAGCAATTTAATAAATTCACTAAAAACTCATCCCTTGAATCATCTAGCTGTGTGGTAGATTCATAAAAAATCTCATACATTAATTCATCCACCAATGTGACTGGATAGAATATGGTCATTTTTTACTGTAACAACGGCATCTGAATAAATTTTTTGTTCAGGACAAAAGAGATCTTTGGCGGCATTCTTATCTATAAACAACTTTTGAATTTATAATAGGCAATTTTTTTTTAAAAGAAAAAATGATTTTAGCTTTGATCAATGAGGTCGAGAAAAAAAAAAACAAACTTAGATCGTTTACTCTTGACATAAGATTTGAACGAGATAAGTTTATGACATAAGAAACAACAAAAACATATTAAGGCGTGAGGATTTCTCACTGAAATATGGTAGTAGAGTTTGTGAGTAAAGCATGAGTTCTCACCGTCGTAGGAGTTATCCAAGTGATGCAGAAGATCATAGTAAAGAATGTCACTAGAGAAAGAGTTCTCCCGAAGTTACTAACAATAGAGAAAGATTTAGGGTAGGAGGAGTTCTCATCAGAATAGGGCGAGTGAAGTTCATGATTAAGGCAGGAAGTGTGATGGAGAAGATTGTAGATTAGAACGTCATTAGGGCAGGAGTTCTCACTCCCGCCCATGGAGATGGAACAAATTGATAGAAATGATTCAATAGGGAAGAAGGTTTTATAAGTGTATTTTAAAAGTTTTAGATGTTAGATATATAAATGAGCAAGTTTCAAATATTATGTATGTAAATCCCCCTAAATTAATTTGCATTTTTAAAGAAAATAATAATATTTTTCAATTATAATTGGGGTGGTTTGTTCCTGTTTGAACATGTAAGTATTATCATGATATTATGACAATAATCTAATGAGAATATTTACTTCATACAATAAGAAATAGAATAACTAAAGTTTAATAATTTATTTGGTTATTAGCTATTTTAAATTTACATTTTATTTATCTAAATTAATTAAATAATTACTTGGAGCAAAACTCATACCTTTTTCACACCAAGAGCTTCTCTAATGGGATAATAATCAAACCAGCGCGACGCAAGATATGAAGTATAATCCTGAAATATAAATTAAATTGGGTGTGAGGCAGGTTTAACAATGCAAATAAACTCAATTTTGATTTCCATTCATTTGTAAAATTCTTTGTTTCATCTATTGTTTCAATAACTTTGTTAATTTTGAAATTCAATCTTGCATATAGTTTTGATATATATATCAACTAAAACAAACCTTTATGCATATGCAACATTAATGTTGATTATTAATGGCTTAGTTATATGTGAAATGTTGTATGGGTATACATTTTCTTATCCTTATTATGTTGAAATTACATTAATAGCATGAAATTATTGTATATAGACCATTAGTGATTGGTGCTTGAAACTCACACATTTCAATAAAAGCACTATTTTGATGGCATAGATGAAGTCAATTTCATGCTAGGGAGCTAATAATGTTGCACGAAGGTGTAAAGTTTTTCATATTAATGGATTTAACTTTCTTTACAATGGCTTATGATGAAAATAAGAAGGCTTAAAATTTTAGTATTATTAACACTATAAATTTGGAAACTTTAATAACTATGAAAGATTAGATGATATTATTGAGATAAACTATTATGCTTCTTTTTTAGTTTTGTTATTTAAGTTTGATTAGGCGAATATCATTGTTACTAGTAAGAAATGTAATATGTTTGGGCATACACTTGTGAACTTCTATCAATTGATATATATTGAAGAAAAATTATAGCATGGTCTTTTTTTTCCTGTCCTAAATATATAAATTGGAATTTTTTTGGTGAAAAGCTAAAAATAAGACATTTATTTGACATGGGGCAAAATTTTGAATAATGAGAAGACTATTATGATATCATTTATAATGGAGAACTTAATTGATAATGAACACCAACATAACTTTTAAAAAGCTTCATTGGATGATGATATTAGTGAAAGATAAATTGATGTAAGTTCATTTTCATTTAAATGCAACATATCTTAAATTTTATAAACTACCTTCTTCTTTATTGTGCAAAGAGGGCATAACATGGAGTCAGTAATTATTAATTTATATTAAGAAAGTGGTACATATGGGCATGTCTATTTATTGTTACCATGCTATTGTTTCCTTGTAACATTTTATTTGTCCTACACCATATCATGGACAGTTTTGGCTTGTGAGGTAGGAAGCATGACAACTAAGAAAAGTGCTCAAGGAAATATTTTCATGTAGAGATGTAGTGAGTATAAAGAAAGAGAGAGCGAGAAAAAGGTAGAGGTTGAAGGACATTGTTGACAAGCATATGGTGATAGCCAAATGCCAGTTATTAACTTCATGTGTCTTATTAGGAAACTCATTTTTCATTCATTGGAAGGAAATACCCTTAAGATTAAGTCCCCGGGTTGCAACCAATTTTAAAAAATTGACTTGATCTGGTCCAATCGGATTTGAATCGCCCTAAATTAATCAAAATCTAGCTTGATTCAGACTCAATTTTAATTCAATTGATTAAATATGAGTCAATTAGATCTTTCTAAATCAGAATTTTGAAATAAAAGGCTTTGTTTTTTTTTTTTCTCAAAATCCCAATTTTGTCGCAGTCCTAGTGCCCAGGCCATGTGATAGCCTTATTTGAAAGCAAATATGGGTGACTTTAGCACATCTGAGCGGAGGATATCATATTATGTAGTAAGCATCTTCAATTGCTGGGATATACAAAATCGAGAAGAAATGATTATGTGAGAAAGTGAATGAGGAGGCGCCATGGCAATCGGTCGTACAGACTTCAAATTTTCTCTAAATGAAGGTGAAATTATTCTGTGTAGACATCGTCCGGAGGTAAATCCGAATATGAAACATCACTTTTTTAATGTGTACCAGTTCTGTGTACCAGATAATATCACACATTTTAATTTGCCTTTGGACCGTTCGGTCTGCACATAATAATTTATCCAAATCGAGAGGGGGTAGGGCCACATTTGTGTTCTTCCATACAGTGTGAGAGACAGAGGGAAAGGTCTTCTTTGTGCTTTTAGTAGAGTGAGGTGGGAGAGCGAAGCTTCAGATTTTGATTCCTTGGCGTTGTTTGTTAGATCTGAGTGAAAGAGGAGGAGGAAGGTTCGGCGGGAGCTCTCGTGTGTGTGTGTGTGTGTCTAGGGGATTCGACCGTGTGGCTCTAGGGGATCCGACCATGCGGCTCTCTCGTGCATACATTTCTTCCTGGTCAAGCTGAACGACTTCCGCATAAGGTTCGTACGTCCAACCTGAGCAAGAGATGGAAGCCAACCGAGTGGGAGAGCAGGAGGTTAGGTAGTATTTGCGAGCAAGACAGGGCGTATGTTTCTTTATGTTCGTGTGTTTCTGGATTTTAGATCGAGAGGCCAAAGCCTCTCAATACTTACGGTTGAGCCCTTCCTTGTGCATGACTTGAAAAGATTAGAAGAATAAAGCAAGTATTCTTGTTTTGAGTCTGGCCGAGAGCTGCTGCTATCTCCTTCTCCTTTTAGTTGAGAGAAAGGAGTCTCTTCCTGCTATTATTATTATTCCAAATAGAAGGTGTGGTTTTTGTTTCTCCTACCTTTCAAAATTCAAGTGAAGACCAGTTACTTGTGAGCTCGTGACAACGACAGTGATGTCCGAAGCAGTTTGGACAACCATCATGCCATTCATCCTTGGGCTTTCTTGCCTTTGCAAGGCGAGTGGATGCCCAGCAGCGCCGTGACTTTACCCGGCTAGGCAAAACCCCTCAAAACTTAGAAAAGTTCTAGGCCTTTAAGCCGGTAATATATGGTTGATGCTCTCAAGCCTTAGGACCTTAGCAACCCTGTATTTTGTTGTCTAAATCTCAAAGAAGAAATCCCATGTTTGCTGCCCCCTTAACAAACTCATGAAAATCTGGTAATTTTCACTGAATTGCTCTCATATGAGAACCATAAGGGTATGCAGGTGCGCGAAGCATGTTGGGATTGGTGTCCAATACCCTCCAAATGCATGTTTTAGCATTCATGTTGCTTTCCAATCCGTCACCAACAAGCAAACCATAGGTTAGGTGATGCTTTCATTTCTATGTAGACTTCCTTACATTGCTAGTTGTATTTTCTCTTTTCCACATATGTCATGACAAAATTTACTTAGGACATTAAACTTGCACTTGTTGGGATTATTGTTCACCTAAGATTTGTAAAATGTGTACATGTGCTCATTCAATTTCAATGTTGGTTAAACTCATGTATATGGAATATCCTATGGATTCTCAAGGCTCTCAGGTTATATTCCATCTCATATTGAAATTGAGTAAACTAATTTAAATAATTACCTAAATTAAATGGTGTGTATGATTAAATAATATCCTAAATTAAATGGTGCATATGAGGAAATCCCTAAACTTGTAACTTCTTCAAATTAATTATATGCATATTTCATTCATGTATAAACCACCAAAAGTGGTTTATAAGCATATGAATGTGCATATGTTTAAGTTTATGAATTTCGTTGAAGTCTTGCAAATGTTTGAGGATGAATTTAATCAACTTCGAAACAATTAATTGAAGCTTTGTCCCTACAGACAAAGGCTGGTAGATAACATGAGGAATGAGAAGCTGACCCCAATGTACTTTGGTCCCTATGAGATACTGAAGAGGATTGGAGTAGTAGCTTATCAATTGATGTTACTCCTGGCCGCTACCATACATCTGGTTTTTCAAGGGTCACAATTGAGAAGGGCTATTGGTGATCAAGCATCCATCTCAGAGTTATCCACAACACTAACAGAGGTTTTGGAGGTGGTGTTTGAACCATTAGAGCTAAAGGGGTATGAGATGGACAGGGAGGAACCAAGTGCTAATAAAATGGAGAAAATACCAGACTATGACGTACGCCACATGGGAGCCGTACAAGATAATGGAGTAACAACTAACGTCTTTCCACTTTGAGGAGAACCTGAGTCTTTGGGAGGGGTATTGATGGAACAAACCCTCTTGGACTAGTCAAATATGGGCTGGTCAATCCTTGACATGCCAAGGTTTACGCTAGGTGGCGGAACAAGGTTCCGCCTAGCTGATTTTTCCGCCCCATGGGGTGGGGCCCAAGAGAGGATTCAAATAAGGAGAAAAAGTGGTAAGAGGGAAATTTATTATGTGAATGACTAAATTTAAAAAAATAGAAAGTTTGATGAAAGGGATAAAGCTCCCAAGCAATCCTTAACTATGGATCGATAATTTTTCATGTATGAGGTTTTCTACTCCAACGAGCACTTAGAAGCTTCCTACAATTTTTGATAAGCTGTCAACAAATTATTATATTGAGAAGGTTAAAAAAAGAATCATAATCAAGCATTCAAACTCTATTATTGAATAAAATGAAATATTTTTCATAGTATAGGATCACAGTATTATAATCATAGATTATAGTATCTATAAAATATAATTAAATATTTCGTAGTATAGAATTCTAACATTTTCTCTCTTTTTTTAATCATATCTCATTTATCATATCATTATTTCATATTATTTTTTTAATAAAATCATAAAACTATATAGCTATTTCTAAAGGAGAAAAGATACATTGAAATTAATGATATATAAGAATAATTTAATCAACTAAAATTTGAGGAAATATATTTTTTATTTTTTTGAAATAAAAGAGACCATGAAATTAATGATATGAACTTAACTGGGCAGTTGAGATCAGACTTTGAAATTGGTGGCTCCTCATCGTCTTCTTCATAGAGACTCCTTAAGATACCTTCGTTTTGCTCTAAGGTTGAATTGTCTTGAATGCATTTCGGAATCAATATATTATCAATCACAATTTCATCAAGGAACTGCAAGTGTAATAATAGACTATTTAATATTCCACAAATTAATTATCTGTAGGTGATGTGCTAATCTTCATTAACAATATATATGCTAATGACTGTTAATATCCTATCAGACATTTGTTAAGATGATAATAATAATAATTAGGGATATAGGTGAGTCAAGCCGACTCATGAGCTGGCTCGAGTTCGACTCGATAAATGGTATGTAAGCCAAGCTTGATAAACAAACGAGTCAATTTTGAGCCAATGACAACTCGACTCGTTAGTTAAAAAAAACTATATATTTAATAATGTAAAAAAAAATGATTTATGAAGTATTTTCATATCACCTTCTGAAAGATTTTGAGGTGTGCAGTACAAAGAGCAGTCCTGGGGAGCATATAATCTTCTCCAACACAATGTCTGTCTATCAACTAAGACAAAAAAGAAAAATAAAAATGTAAAGAGAAATTATTTGTATGAAGGAAAGGTTTATATAAACAACAATTAATAGTGTATTAAATATAGAAAATTCAGTCTTGAAATTTTAAGTGAATTACCTCCTTGAATTCATGTGAAATGATGCCCAATTCATATGCATGAGCGACTCTTGGATTGATATCAAATTCATCAATTCCTGTTCTTGGGTTTCCAATTAAATACCCCTAAAGTCATTTTGATTCAGAAGAAAATAAAATATGTAAATGTGGTATATCAAATATATAATTATTTTAACTAAAGAGAATGAGGTATTTTATCCTTCATTATTTATTTTCATGTTTTTAGTAACAAAGATAATTTAAGGGTCATTTGATTGACTGAAAAAAGAATACAGAGTGAGAGGAAAATAGTATAAAAAGAATGTAATATATTTGAAATGTTTGAGAGGTGTTTAATAAATAGTGGTGACAGGTGGTAGTGGTAGCAGAAGATGACAGCACGTGGTGGAGGCTGGCAAACAAGGTAGGCCACAACAACGATTAGTGGGAGCAGTGGGCAGTAGGCGGTGACTGGTGGTTGCTGATGGGACAAGTGGTGGTTAGCGGCGATTATGACCGCAATGATAGAGAATTTTCGATGTATTTGAACATGGCATAATCTAATGGTTTCGAAACAAAACAAAATTTTACTAGACGGCGAATTTTAAATTAATACTTCAAAATTTTACTCTACATTCCTTTTACTTCAAATCAAATATCAATATTTTGAACTCTTCCACATTTTAAATAAATAAACAACTATATTGTTTTCTTTCAAAGATAATTTACCTTGAAATTGATTAATGGCGGGTCAAATGCTTCGATTCCTGGCATTCAAAAAGGTTGACAACTCATTAACAGCTATTTATTTTTAAAGGTTAAAATTTATATTTTTTTAATGAAACATTCATTTAAATTATTAAATAATCATCAAATTTCCATAAAAATTGCACCAATCAGGCCTTATTAAATTTATTTTTTGTTACAAATTAAATCAGAATTGGATAATTCTCTACATTTAATTTATATCTAATATGTAAATATATTATATAATATTTTATCATTTAATTATAATAAAACAATAATTAAAATAATAATTGAAGCTGAATCCCGAAATAGATGAAACTATTAAAACTATAAGTGCCGAAATTAATTTGCTTTTCAAAAGTTTGCTTAAAAAATTTAAAAAAATCATATGAATTCCTAATTTAACAATAAATCAGTAATATTCAATAAAAAGAAATTCTTTCTTTTTTAGATATCAATCAAGTTCTTTTTGAAAAAGTTTTACAGATGGGGTGAATGTGGTTAGAGAGGGATTCCAAGGGAGAGAGCTCTAGAGAAATTCTTGAGCGTTGAGAGAGGAAGGAGGAGGTGAGCGTTGTAAGGGAGAAGAGGTGTGAGGGAGATCACACGGTTGCTCCAAGCTTGCTTCATCTTGCTCCTCATGTGGCCCTAGAAGGATTTGAGGGAGGATCTCCAAGGGAAAGGCTCGTCTACATCCGTTACCTCGAGGTTCTCTGTTCCCCCCCCCCCCCTCTTGTCGTTTAGTAATTTCAAATGCTGTTATTAATGGTACTAGACTTTCGGTGGCTCGAATACTTGTTGAGTTAGATATTACTAAATAGTATCATAATCAAGTGTGGCTCGGCTCTGATTCTGTGGCGTATTTTCAGTCTATGGAGATGGAACTATTTCCCCCGTATTGCTCCCATTATAAATATTTGGGTCATTTCAGAGATGTTTGCCTAGTTTTATTTCCTAATTTCGGTGGTTTTCCTCCTATGGGGGAGGGAGTTTCGGTTGGTGCTCATTCTTCTCATGAGGTTGGTGTTAATCTGGCATTGATTGGGGTGGATCAGTGTGGTGATGGTGTCCACTAATGCTGATGGGTGTGATCTCGCTGGTATTAATGCTGGGGAATAAGAGAATATGGCTACATTGGTTGAGGGTGATGATGTTTGCCTTAATACATATAATTTGGTTTCTCCTAAAGTGGATCTCCTTGATAATGTTGATGCTAATTTGATTAGTGAGGGTGTGATGGAGGATTGTATTGTTGCTTTGGCTCATAGCGAGGAGGGTATTGTTGGTGGAGTAGAGAAGGTGCTTTGTCAAGATCTTGAGTTGGTGGTTAAGGATACATCTGGTGATTTAGAAAGCTATGTTGGCCACTTGAATCCTAATGCACCAATTTTTCTTCCCCTTGTTGTGGGGAGTGTTGGTGGTGAAGCTCTGAATGATGTTCCTATTGATATTGTCTCACCTAATGTTCTTTCTCAAGTTATGTTGAGGTCGGGGAAGACCTGTTTGGGTGGTGGTGCAATTGTTAAGGCACAAATGGATTGGCTTGAGTGTTCTTCATCTTCACCTTCTGAAGGTGATGAAGAGGTAGTGTTTGAAAAGGTTTGTGGTTAGCGTGATACTTTTGTTCGGGTGGGTAATCGAAGGAAGAGGAAAATCCAAGAAATAGTGTTTTGTATTTGGCTTAATGGCTGTTGCTTTGGGCCTTGGGGTGTTAGGTTGTATGGAAGTGCAGGTTGCTGTTGTGGTGCCATTCAAATTTGGATGGCAATTTACTGTTGGGCTTATGGTGGGTTTTCTGCTTGTTATGGATCTCCTTGGATCTGTTGGATGCGGGTTGCTGCCATTTTGGCTGGTTTGGTCTTTGGGTTGGCTTTCATTTTTTGTTTATTCTCTTCTTTAATTGTTATTAGTAGATTTAATAGCTCTTAGGTTTATTTTAAAAGGTTGTATTTTTAGATGAGCTTATGGATCTGTAAGGACTTGTATTTCCCCTTTTATTCTACGTGTAGGCCCCTCTGCAGGTTTTATCCAAAAAAAATAGTGTTCATCAATAGTTCAATGGTCAAATACTTTTAAAATTAAGTTGATTTATTTACAAAAAAAAAAAGATTATATAAATATAAATATTTATTAAAAATAAAATACATGCATACCTTGGGCTATCTTATGAGAAACAAGTGCGGCCATCTTGCCACCATAAGAGTCCCCTCCAACATAGAAAGGATTCAAGAGGAAATTTGGATGGTCAACAAACCACTGAAACACAAATATTTTTGAAAAATAGAAAGAACATAACGGTAACTTTCATCATTGCTTGCTCTAATAACTCTAATTATGAAACAATAAGCAAATACCCACCTGTTTAAGGAAGGTGTGAATTTGATTAATTGATTGGTAATCATCTAACATTTGGTACTCAAAGTGTTCTGAGAATGAAAATCCAGTACCAGCAGGCCAATCCAAGAAGATTATGTTGAATATCTGTGATCCATAAATCAAATTTGTTTATTCATAACTTGAATGGTGCTAAAATAGCAAAAATTAATTAAAAAAACTCTATTTAAAAATCCCTCCATAACTAAATGAGCTTAGGGGTGTTCAATAAATGATCTGACTCGACATCCTGATCCAACATTGATAGAAAAAATGTAGCTATATATGGGTTGTCCCATTTAATAAATTGATAGGATTCAGGTCCAGAATAAACCCGTTCAAAAAGTGACGTTTTTTTTTCATAAATCTTTTGCTTGTTGATTTGCTCTTCTTATTTTGTAATCAATAAATCTAAACTCTAAGTTGACAGGTTATAATTTTTTTTAATCAAAATAGGTTATTGGGTCGGGTTCAAGCCCACCTCTTTTATCCTTTTATTAAATATGTTTGATTCACATCAATTGAATTCAAATCAAATCAATTTCATATCGGATCAAAAAACGACCCGTTAACCGCTTTGACAGCTCTAAATGAGCACTAAATGTTCATTTTAAATAATTAAGTTGATGATCACCTTCGTCCATGTGTAAGGATGATAATTTAAAGTTGGCAAAGTTCCATTATAGCGAATACGATTGAATCTCATAGGACCTGCAAGCAAGAGAAAATAAAAATTTAGATAAATCTTCAAAATGGAAATAAAGATAATCTCTTTCGAAAAATTTTAATTTTGTTCTTCTTCGTTTAGGTCACAAAATAGGCGTAATAATTGTTGTGTGCTATAATATTTATGATATTAGAGAAAAAAATTAATTGTCTTAATATAATATAAAAATCTTGTATATGCATAGATATAATAAGTCAAGGACAATTTATATGAGAAGCAATAATTTTTTACATCAAAATTCAAATATGATAAATAAAATCATGAGATTTAGCGTAAACTTTTTAGAAATACTTCACCATCGAAGAGGAAAGGAATTCATTCAATAAATTTGAAGAATAATTTTAAACAAGGTCTAAGTAAAATTTTATCAAAGATGGAATCGAAAAAAATCAACTTTAAGCTATCCATTGGTCAACTTCGATACTTGACCTCTCAGAAATTTAAATAATTATTTAAAAATATTTTCATATTCTCTTATTAATTTTATAGTAAACTTCCAAAAATATAAAACAATCATAGAACTAAATTTTCATTCAAATATCAAAAAAATCTAATTCAAGTTAAATTCATTCAGTAAAGTCAGATCAAGTTGTTTTGTCCGGTCTCATTCTCTCGAAGACTAGTGAGTCTTCGAGAGAACTTGACTCAAACAAGATTTATTATTATAATTATTATTATTATGAAAGCTTACCGATCTCTTCATACAAGCCATAGAAAGAGCTACAGCCTGGACCTCCGGTGAGCCAAAGGAGGAGAGGGTCTTTGCCAGGGTCGCTCTCAGACTCTACGAAATAGTAGAAGAGCTCTGTTCCTGTCCTTTTATCCACCATTACGTACCTTTATACATACACAGAGATATATAAAGTTTAAGTTTACTAATATGACAAAGTTAAAAATATTTTGCATATATAGCTATACTATGGGTGTAAACGAGCCGCGTTGAGCTCGAGTCATGCTTATTTGAGCTTGAATTTGAATAATTAATCGAGTTCGAAATTGAATTTGAGCTTAAATATATGAGTTCAAGGTGGCTCATGGACGTGATTGTTTATTATTAAAAAGAAAAAATGATTATGCATGATCCGAGTAATTTTAATGACAAAATCATAAAAATAAGACAACGGATATGAGCTAATAAAAAATTACTTGATATAAGAAAATAGGATAGAATTATTAAATATTTTTAATTTTTTTTTATTTAAATTCATGAATTTTAATATATTTTATATGCTTTTTTGTTTTGATAAGCTGGCTCGCAAACTAATGAGCTAAGTTGAGATTATTTTTTAGTTTATTAAATTATATTTCAAAAATGTAAAAGATCTGCCTATCAAGCTTGTTTTCTCGAAATTATATACTAACATCTTGATATTTTTATTAAATTTTTTCATCCCATAAGTCATTTTGATCCAATTTGATGATTCAAGTTTATTCTCAGTGTTCATGCATTAGTATCTTTTCGCCAGATTTCTTCTAAACAAGATTTCAAATTAGTACCGTTTTAATTATTTTATATGTTTTTAATTATTATTAAATTAACTTACAGTATTTAAAATCACTGAGAATTTTACATTATATTTTTTTTTCAAGTCAATTAAATATAAAAAAAATGAAATGAAATAAAAAACACTCACCCAGTCTCTAGACGAAAGGGAAGAAGGCCTGGGAAACCAGGGAGCTCATTAACAATGGTGGCTGCGGTGTGAAGGCAGGGCCAGCGGCTTACGTAAAAAAAAACCAGACAAAAAAATTTAATATTGAAAGAAGGAGACATCATTGGCTGTGGAGACAGCAGGAACGAGAGGAGGTAGGTTTAACAGGCGGAGAGCATTCGGAAACTTTATATGCACCGGCAGAGCATGTGAACAACGTGCGACCATCTGAAAAACCAACAAACATTCGACTGCTGTACCTACTTCAAAAAGAAATTTGCAAATTCAACCCAAATACAATTAATTAAGTTATGAAAGTATTAAGAGGTGATTTGATTTGAAAAAAAAATAAACTGTTGAAAAATATTTGTGTGAAATTAAAATAATATATTTGAAAATTTTAAATTATTTGGTTGAAAAAAAAAATTACTATTTGATATTTGTTTTGGTGTAAATTTATCAAATGGGCTGATCATTGAGTTCACTAAAAATGAACTAAGAGTGTGTTTCAAGTTTTGAAATATTGCGCATTTCTTTTTCATCAAATTAGATTCTAATATTTTTAAACTTTTTATTAACAATATTTTTTTAAAATAAATGACCTTAATTTATTTTATAAATACTTACCAAATCTAAAATATAAATCACGATGAAAGAATTTGTGCCATGTTAGTTAGAGATCGTGATTGTATCTTTAATATTACGAGTTTGAGTGATATATTTTATGTAAATACATCTCATTGGCCGGTAAATTCAATCTTATTAAAACTGTTTTGTTGTCATATACCATCTTTCATAGTACTCATTCCTTGATCCCCAAAGGCACACTTGAGGAGATGGACAAGTTGTGTAGAAGCTTTATTTGGAATAAATCATTTGATAATCAGGGAATGCTATTTGTTAATTGAAAAACTTTATGTTATCTGACCAAATGGGGAGGGAGAGGTCTTCATTCTTGTCATGACAAAATTGGGCCTTTGAGAGCAAAAATTGGTTGGAGATATACCCAAGAGGAGAATTCCTTGTTGCATAAAGCTTTATTTCCAAAATATGGATCATGTTTTGAAAATCACTTCTCAAAATAGAAAGGATCTATAGCTTGGGCTATTATCAAAAATGGTGGAGAGTTCTTAAGGTCGATTCTTAGATGGAATGTAGCAAATGGGAGTTCCATTAATAATCTCAATGATATCCGGATTTCAGATAAAAATCTTAACAAATGGCCTACTTATCTCAATCCCCAAGATCTTGAAGGTGCATTACTTGATAAATTAATTTTTATTGGAAGATGGGATCAAGATGTGCTGAGGAAAAATTTTGGCCCAAATCTTGTTAATCTGATTCAGCAAATAAATCTCACTGGTAGTAATTCCAAAGATGAAGTAGAACTTTTGTATAGCAAATATGGGAAGTCGATTTCTGCATTGGCTTATGAATCTTCAATCCAAGTTTTTCAGCAAGAAAACTATTGGAATTGGATAAAAAAGGCGAAGCTGTCTCCTAGAATTGAAGTCTTCTGATGGAGAATATTTAACAAAACTATCCCAACATTCCAGTTTTTATGCTATAGAAGATTGCAAATGCTTTTTGAATGTCCTAGAGGATGTAAAATGGTGGAAGACATTGAACATATTGCGGTTAAATGCAGTAAACTGGGAGATGTTTTCCATCATTTAAATAGATGGGGATTTGGTATTCCCAAATGCAGTTCTTTCACAGATTGTATATTATGGTTATCTGTTCAAAATGGTTGGTTAATCAGTTTGTATTGCAATGCTGTTTATTACAATTGGAAAGCTAGGAACAATTTTGTTCACACTGAAAGGAAACGGGTGCCTTATTCATTGCATTAGAATCAATCTCTATGGCTTCTATGTCTTTCTCAAATGCAGTGGCTACCTCGGGTAAATGGGGTTCTAATAAGCTTTATAAGCATTGGAAATTCATCGGCATCCCCCTCCACCCGGTTGGATCAAGTTTAATTTTGATGCTTCTCTACTTCAATCTTACAAAGGAGGTATTGGAGGAGTTTGTAGGGATTCCAAATGCAGCTTTTTGTTAGCATTCAGATATTCCATTACTCATTGGGATGTTTCTATGCTAGAAATGCTTACTGCCCTATCCGTTCAAAATGTTTTTAAAGATGGTATGATGAATTTTGATGGCAACATCATTGAAGGAGATAATGCAAATGTAATCATCATTGAATTATGATATTGCAAGATAATATTATTCACAAGAATGATGATTTGAGAGGTATGTTCAAAGACTATAGAAATATCATTTTTAATTGTATAGATAGGAAGTGTAATAAGTTAGCGGATCTATGTGCTAACTATGCTATTGTTTCTTCCTTTATTTGGGACTATTTAGTTATTAATAAGGTTCATCCTACATTTATTGCTTTGTTAAAGGAGGAATCTTATGGACAACTTAAGCTTTTTTGCTTTTAGCTTTCAATAATATTTAAATGCACTGGTTGCATTTTCTTAAAAAAAAAAAAAAAAGAGTGATATATTTTATGATTTGTTTTTCATCATTCTTAAAAAAAATTAAATCATACCCCTACTTCCCTATCTGACCGCTCAACTATTTTAATAATGGCTCTGGCAAATTTTAACGTAAGCATTATTAGAAACGTAATTAGCAGATATTAAGCACATTTTAAAAAAAAATTAAACTAGCCTTAATCGTCTGTTCAACGGGCAATTAGATATGCACAAACAAATTGCCCATTTAACGGGGGATTAACCATGCATAAACAAATCACCCGTTGAACGAGCGACTAGCTCTGATTACACCTTTTTCTTTTGAAAATTGATCTGAAGCCTTAGTCCCCTTCCTTTTCCTGCTTTCGTGTTCTCTCGGTCCCGATCGAAGAATCTGCGCACAAATCGTCTGACTGAGGTTAGTTGGGTATTTTATTTATATATTTTGCTAATTTTTTAAATTAATTTTCATAATGCTAACTTAGATCTGACAAAAAATTAAATAAAAAAAAATCAACCATTTATAATTGAAGAATGAAGAGGTTTTTTGTTAGTTCTATATTTTGTTTTTAAGAAACGATAGATTCTATGTTTTCCTAAAATGGAAGTTTTGAGTCATACTTTAATCGTAGTTTTGAGTCATGCTTTAAGTTTTTTTCAACCACAGTATGATTTTTTTTTTTCAATATAATAATAAGTAATATTTTAAAAAATAGATATCATTCAATATAACTCATAAGCCTCATTTTAAATATAATATAAATATCAATAATAAATTTGATAATGACTTACTAAAAAGTCAAAAAATTAATATCAATATTTTAAATTCTTAAAAATAATGTATTTATATACAAAATTTTCGTGAGGTATTTATACAAACTTATTGCTTATAATGTTTTATTAAATAATAAATAAAATTATTATTTCTTAGTTTTTTACCATTTTTTAAAATTTATAACTATTAGATCGATCAAGTTCTTAATTTTCATAATATTTTTAAATTAACTATATTATTTTCAAATATGTTATGGTCAAAAGAATAAACCTGTTTTTATGGAAATAATATATTTGGCTCAATAATTTATTTTAAAAGAATTTTTCTTTTAAACTTAGTAACTATTCATTATGAATTGGCCATTTCCTTTCCTTTGACTGTAATGAAATTTTAATAAGGACTCTTTTAAATTACTCTTTTTTTAGTATACATTTATTTAGAAGTTTTAATACAGAATAAATATTAAAATTTTAAATTTTATCGAGACACTCATATCGATGAAACAAATTTAATGAGTGTCCTAACTACATAATTAGGCATGATTTTTGTAGTTTTCACAAATTTGAAGTAATGTAATTATAAATATTATAAATATTTTTAATGAAAATCGCTTCACTATATGGTTGAAAAGACTTTAGCTAAATTTGAGTCGGCTTCTAATCGATCAGTTTGAGTCATGTTTTGATTTGACATTTCCATTTTTATGTAAATATAAGTATTCATAATGACTACGTGTCCACCATTTTTCATACTACTATACGATGGAGAGTTATCTTTAGATACGAATTTTTCGCATATATATAGTGGTGGTACCTGTCACCTCTTATAAGTTTCATTTAAGTCAACTTTAAAGCAACTAAAGGATAGGGTTCTTAGAGCGCTCAAGTACGATCTGTCAAAGTTCACAACAACCATTGTGGGTCATTTTTCGGTGGGGGAGCGAATTCATCACCTCAAAAGTTGAGGACGATGAAGCATGTGAGTTTGCATTGTTATTGATTCTTGCTAAAGTTTTGATTTTGTATGTAGAGGTTGAGCAAATTCCAGTAGATAGTAATTTTGACGAAAACCTTTTTGGTTCAAATTCGTGATTCAGTCATGCTTGAACATAGAGATGAGGTGCAAGATGCTTCTGAAAGGCATGCCTAATTTCTACAAAAATCCTTTTGGCATGCAAGATGCTTCCAAAAGGCATGCCTAATTTTTGTTGAATATCTTTTGTTTCAAATTTACGATTCAGTTGGTCGATTCAGTCGTACTTAACCGGTATGTTAGGAGTCGAAGAAACTATTAATTATGTTAGTTCTAGTAATGTATTATTGCTTGTTTTCTAATGTTAAGTAAATGCAATGCAGATCCACATGAAACTCATGCGAAATGAATTTACCTGGTCCTTCAACACTTCTATTTTTGATCAGCTTCTACAATCAATGAAGGATACGAGACAATGAGCAGTGGTTCAAGTGATGATATTGATGAAGAAATTGATGAAATGGTCATAATCTAAGTGTTAGCAATAATATTATTCAGGAAAATATCAATGAGATTATTCATGAATATTGTGTAAGGACTGGTAATACAGAGGAAGGCGTGACAGCTAATAATGAATATGCTAAAATTTCTATGAGTACCCATTAGTGGAATGCAAAGGTTGCATCTAACAGTAGTACTCTATTTGGCTTAACGAATGAGGAATTTGTCATTCCAAATGAATTAGCAAAAATACACACCTTTTATGCAATAACCATGCTATATCATTCAGCGTCACAGCGAAGCCAACATCACAATGTTGAGGCACTGGTTCATTTTTCAACTCCACTGTGCCATACTGTCTAGCTCTGCGGTGCTTGAGCTCAATCATGTACTTGTTATAAATTGTTTTTAATTCATTTGTTTGAAGAGTTTAGTAACTTGATTGAAATCTTTTTATTTCTTTCAGTATGTGTCTTTAGTACCGCCTTAGAGTAAAGTCTTAGTGAGACTATGGAAGTGCAAGATACTTTCTTTAGGAGATCTTAGCCTGTGTTTGTATAAGAAACTCTGTAAGTTGTGGAAGGAGTATGGAGAAGATCTTTAGATCCTTCTTGATGATAAACTTTTTACCACTTCTCTTGTATTTTATTCTTTTATGGATAAAATAAATATAAGTTTGCTTATTATTTTATTCATGTACGATTAATTCTCTTATTTTGGTTTGATGAAGTAAAGTGCATATCAAGTACTAGTATATACTCTTATGCTTCAATGAAAGTATTGATGTTTTGAATATATCTCGTTCTTTATTTAATGCATATAATGATAATGCATGTAGTTAAAATCTAGTATGATGTAGAACCTCGATGGAGGAATGCTGGAATAATTAGAAATATTGTAATGGAATATTAGCATGCCGATAGGAGGTTTAAATATTCTAGGTTCTATGGAGATAGAAAAATTGTAGGAAGGTCATAAACCTTTCACTTTACATCTACAAGCTCGACAAAAATCTAAAGATGCACATGCTAAGAGTCTCATTAGGAAAGATATGTAATTTACATCCATCAGTCCAAAACACCTTATCTCATAAGTATCAACTCTTTTTAGTCATATTTTCATTTAATGATAAGAACTCAAAAACATCATTTTTAATTTCAATAGGATAAATTCATGCAATTAGAGTACGTAATAGTAGTGTTATTATAATTTAGTAGAACACTTTCTAGTGGGTTCGACACTATACTATATTACTTGATTCAGCACATATACTTGCATACATCAATGAGATATTTTTAAATTTTTATTAAAAAAAGTTAAGCATATTTCAAAACTTGTGAGTTTCACATTATCTCACCATAAGCCTAACGAAACATCATCATAAGTTGCCTAAAACTAACTTTTCTCTCTCTAACTAGCTACATCTAAGGGATGATATGAATCAATTTAGTGGAAAATGATATTTTTAATATTAAAATTAGGTTGAGCACTAGAATGCCAGATTTCGCGTGCTAAAGAGCTTCCTTTGGGAGCTACAACATTGTAGTATGAATTAATTGATACAAAGATAGAGTACTTAAAGTTGTAGTGCCGCTAGACCCAATGTCGTGGAGCCCCGAGGATTTTTTTTTTTTTAGATTTTTAAAAAATTAACACAAATCCCCTGAGACCCGCTTCAGAATACATGTAAACCTTCACATTTATACCAAACATTTCTCGATACGTGCAGAAGGGTTCAAAATGAGAAAATTTAGTGGATTACCTTGAATTAAATCGAGACTGATCAGTTGGAGTAGTGCACTGATCTGTAGGTGTTACACTTAAGCCTTAAAGCTCTCTTGAATCTCAAACCTAAGTTCAAGCTCAAGTCCTCTTTCAGGTAGAGAGTATAGATCTATTTATAGATTTTTTAGAATGATATTTCCCATAAATATGAAAAAAATTATGAGCACTACTTTAGATAGTATATATTTATTCTCTTGATTATAAAATATTTTTTCAACATTTAAGTTCCTTCCCTTTATCAAAGAGCATTTTTTTTAGCAATTTTAAGTTTTTTAGTGTTGTTGCATTAAGCAATTATGCAATTTTAGATTCGTCTTATAAAGTTGCCCAATTTGAAAATAGTTTGATTATGAAATTTTAAATTATAATTCAAGTGCTTAATCTAGGCTCAATTGAACTCAGATGGGACTATTTTTTATATCGTCGGGTTCGTCTAATTATGATGCTCAGATCTATTACAAGTTTATTTAAATTGGAGTTCAGATTATCCAAAATTTAAATTTATAAATTTTTAATTAAAATATGCATTGAGATTCTTACTAAATAACAAGGATATTTTTAAAGCCATATCGACGAAGTAATTTATATCACCAATAAAAAAGAACTCAAGAAATTGATTTATATGAACCTTCAAGTATCTCTTGAAAAACTTTCATTTGATATAATAATTTAAACTCTCAAATAAAATTTTCAACATCCTTCAACTCAATAAAATATCTAATATGCATGCCCTCTATAAATAGAACTTTTATTTTATCCAGTGAACGTACGCTCCTCTACGTTCGGTTTACGCAAAAAAGCGCCTGTACCGAGTACCGAGTACCGAGTTGTACCGAGTTTTTTATTTTGAAAAAACTCGGTACAGACGCTTTTTTGCCTAAACCGAACCTAAAGAAGCGTACGTTCACTGGATGTAATAAAAGTTCCTATAAATATATCCCAAATATAAAAAAAAATCTTCCTAAAATATCCTTATGATGACCAATCAAAAGGGCAACCAACAATTCTCCCATGACAAGCTAGCTTTTGGAGAAAGGACATAAATGATTAGAAAATTTAAAATAAATTTAATTTTAATAAAAATTTTCATATAAGCAGCGGTGCTTTCGGCGGGGTAAGGGTGCTGATCATTCTCTTTCTTCTCTGAATCAGTCAGACTGACAGTTCTTGTGCGCCCTCTTCTCCTCCGCCTCAACTACTTTCTGTTGCTCGATCCTTGAGCGACCTCTTCAGAAGTCCGTCTTCAGCGAACAAATTTTTTTTTTTGGGACATTTAGGCCAATTAAGGCAAACTCATACACACAACGCATACACATAAATTCGAATCTTAAACCTCTTAGTTGGAAGCCTAAGCTCTCAACCAATAGGCCAAGGAGAGTTGTGTTCAGTGAACAATAAAAGAAGCCTCATATACATCTTCCATTTTGGTGTGTTTTTTCTTAGGGGATGAGAAATGGCCGCGGCATATTTTAACCCGGCTCTTGCTTTGCTTATCCTTCTCCTTGTGGGATCTCTTCTGCAGGCTGTGGCTTACATTGGTGCGAACTGGGGGATTCTTTCTACCCACCTGCTGTCTCCTCCCATAGTTGTAGATCTCTTGAAGGAAAATAGGATTGGGAAAGTGAAGCTCTTCGATACTTACCCTTCCATCCTTAGGGCGCTGATGGGTAGCAACATCGAAGTAATGGCTGGGATCCCGAACGAAATGCTGGAACTTCTTAGCTCCCTTCTGTTGCTGCGAACGTTTGGATTTGCCAGAATGTCTCGAGATACGTGGTTAAAGGTGGAGTGAATATGAGGTATTTTTCATCTTTTATCTTTCTTTCATTGCTAATTAATACGCTTTAGATGATCTGGTTGTTTGCTGGATTATTATTATTTTCAGAGGATTTCCTTTTCCTCTTGTTTTACCGTTTTCAATCTTTTATTTGAATCTTTGGAATTAGATAACCATACGTGGAAGCAAGCAATGCTTACATTTTTAGGAACTAGTTCTTATGCTTATAAGCTTTTAAGATTATCAAACGAAACATCTACTTTCTAATAGATTCACAATTCGCAGGCTGTTGAAACACTTCAATTCTTAGGAAATGCAAGGCTGATTGAACAGGATACTATGTAGATGAAATGGCCTCCATTTCCCTGATTTCAAACATCTATTGGATCCATAAACTGAACAAAGTAGTTTCATCTGTGTGCTGATGTGTTTACATAAAAGAGGTTGTGCGTACATTTTTGAGCTTCTAACAGCTTGTAAATATTCTTTAAATCGTTTTTTCTTAGGGAATGCAAGAAATTTTGATGTGTGCTTTTCTGATACCTTTTGGATCCTGTTTTCCTTTTCACAGATCTTAACAAAAGCATTGTTATTTAATAAAATATCTATCTTTTAGATGAAAATTATTGTATGTTACATGGGGTACTTATATATATGTATTTAAGCATTGTGGTTTGAGTAACTTCTGGTGAAAGTTATAATTTCATCAACATGATACAGAACATTTTGACCTGCATTCTTGCCGGGTCAGAAGGCTTAGGTAGATAAAGGGTCAATTATAGAAGGAAAAAAAAAAAGAAAAAAAAAATAAATGAAAGACGATGAGCTTGTTGAAATTTAAGAAGCAGGGAACATTAATGTTACAAGTATTGTTGTTTTTCACCTCAAAAATATGTATTGTTGTATTGGAGTGATGTCTGAATTGAATACTTATCCATGAATAAAGAAATCTATGTTCATTTAATGAAGAACGACCTTGCTTAAAAGTGCTCTATGATTTGTTCTAGCCCTGGTGATTTAACCCACCCTTCCAAGTTGTAACATTAGATTCGGTATCAATGGTTTAGGCACAATGGAATACTAAGAATTTCTTTTAAAGGATTTTGATAAGAATTGAGGGGACATTGAAATAATGACGTAGGAGTTCATGCTAAGTGTTTCTTACATTCAATAACATAAACAAGGTTAGCAAACTTCATTTTTGATAAACATGATCTACGATTTTTTCCTCAGTGATTAACTTCATTTTGGCAATGCATTGTTCTAATTGGTTTACCTCAAATTGAGTGCCTTTTACATTGGTTGGCATGTAATTTGTATATAGAGAGAGAAAGATGTGATGCAAAGAGGGAAGGCCTAGGCAATGGAAGGTTTACAAGTTAGAGAGAGTAATAGTGATTGATTGAGTGGTATTTAAGTGCATAGTAACTTTCAATTCGATTCCCTTATGCCTTGAAATAAAATTATAAATATCTTTTAGTATAGCTGATAAAACATTATCCCAAATCCTTGAAAAAATTATTTATTAAAACTAAATAAAAGATAGATATAAAGATGCTTTGATGGGATTTGAGGAGCAAAATAAAGAGATGGGTAATGATCTTATCCCTACTACTCCCATCATGGCTATCCTTTATTGGGAATGAAGAAAGCCATTTCATTTAACGAGATGTCAAAAGTGTGCTCATCATTATAATGTAACTCCTTGGTGTGTAAACTTCTTATGGATATAGATCCCTTTTGGCTCAATGCATGCTCATATGTATTCATAAGCTTCTTTTTAACTCACCTAATTGGATTAATTGTATGGGCTTAAGTTGTATTGA